CTAACTCCTTGAAGAACAACTGGGGCTCCTTTGGCAAGGAACATGCAACTCCCAGTGCTGGTCCTTTCAGTGCAGCCATCAGATAGTCTGCCCTCTGCTCCTGATTCCAGCAGTTGATCCTGCTGACTTGTTCAAAGTGCACCAGTTAGTCCTCAATGAATGACAACCCGTCCTTCTCCTGAGCCTTTACCTGCATTGCTGCTGCGGTGCGCACGTTTGCGTACTGGCCAACTGCATTTGCAGCACCGTATCCGCTAGTAGTGGTAGCAGTGTGCATTGCCATGTGCCTGCCTGCAGGACAAGCTTTGCAACTGCTGTATGCCTTGGTTGGGCTGGAGATTGAGGGTAGCCAGAACAGTGCTCATCACTATCAGACTTGCTGCGCCTCACTTTTCACGAAGACCCTGTGCCAGTTTCTTTTGGTGCTTCTGCAAGCTTTGTTTTTGTCTCCTGGTGCTATTGTCCTTGAAAGGGGCTCAGTGTCTCTGGTACATAGAATTACCATCTTCCGGTTCTGGGTGAAGATCCATGAGTAGCTCAACCGCTGTCCGAAAGTGACCGCTATAACCATTTGATATCATTGGACATGTTGCTAATGGCTTCTGTGACATTTCATGCTGGCTCCAGCGTGTCACACTTCTCCATTGAAAAGCCAAGAAAACTATCCCACCGCTGCCATCAATTGTAACATAATTAAACCTAAGCAAACACTAATAAAAAGGGACACAGTTGACTCACAGGCTTTCAACTCCAAAACTCAACTTGCTTCATTTTTTAATTTTCACAAGAACAGCTACCTGCCACAATGATTCCAAAAACACAACAACTTATTGTCAGCTTACAAAACACACTGTCTAAAAATATTTTGTGACAACTTAACCTGGCCCTGGAACCTAACCAAATTCTTCCCACATACCCCAACAAAAGTACCCCATTTATGTGGTCTACATGTGTTTATAGTTGCCTCATTTCTGGAGCGCACGCTGGCCCAGACCCAAAACCAGGCCAGGTGCACGCTGCTGGAGCCCCTCCTCTGGTAGCGGCGGCTTTGCCACCATTGGCTAATTAACTACTGAAAAATAATGGTGTCAAGTACACTGCAATATACATTGTATTCATTATAACTTCCTCCCATTTGTGGATTTAGCAGAGACAAACGTGAATTCCATGTTGGATTATTTTTTCTGCTCAGTAACTATACACATAGTATGTAAGTACACTTGTGCAAACTAGTGCATATATGTAATAATTTACATCGACTGTGGCTGTGATTCCTCCATTACGATCAATGCATGACACATCACATTTTCAAAACTTTCAAGTAATTTTTGTATCAGTTCATCATTTATTCTTGTGCATCAAATGATGTTGGGCCATGAGTGGCCTCTGAGCTAATCTGAGGCATGGCCATTATGGGAGGGTGTTAAACATCTGTAATATGGGTAAATCCACAATTGTGGTACCCTAAAATAGATAATGGCATAGATAAATAATGCTGTCAAGTGACCCCTTCAGAAATAATCAGGTGATCAGAAAACTTCTGCTCTTCAGTTTGATGATGCTTCAAATTAGACTGCATCTCTATTTGTTCCAAGGAACAACACTTGAAAAGTTCCCATTTAATATGAACAGAAACATGTAGAAGGGGAGACTTCTTTCGGGGTCTGAAGCTTCTGAAGAAAAGATGATCACATTGGATAAGTTGTTTTGCAATGAAGTGTGAAAATGTAGGTTTGTATTATGTTGGTCATGTACATTGATGATGGCCCTGATCAATTTTCATAACTAAAGCTAAGAGGAGTTAGTCTTTTCCTAACATAAAGAAAACAGGCATCAAATGTCTAAATACTGACAATAAACCACATTTTGGAGCATATCATCTCGGCCGTGCGGTGTCCTTTTTGATTTAAACATGCAAGGTGTTTGAAATTCTTATCATAGATCCAAAGAATGGAACAGCTAGGGTGCTGAATTTTTGTAAATATACAGCTAGAATTACGTACATATACATAACACCACTACTTTCATTATTGAAGGCATGGAATCGATACCGTGTCAGTATCATTCTTTCTATTTACAGTGCCTATCATACCTAAATGTATCTGTGCATGTACTGTACGTAGTCTTGCCCCACACAATGGCGCTGAAATTGCAGACATTAAACAATTTGTCTAATGTTTGGGCTTCAATAATGATAGCTGCCATTTAAAGGAAAACTCCACCCGTATTTAATTATCATGCCATTTCAAAGAGAGGCAATTGTAATTGTGAATGGTGTTTTGTTTTATTGAAATCAGTCAAGGAAAGGTCATAAGCTCCCGGATGTTGTGGAAATTTTAAACAACATGGACGCATCCTTTGTATCAATGAATGGCAAGAAATTAGGACTATAAAGGGATTGTGAGCCGTTCTTTATATCAAAGAAAAACCAACTCTTGGCGAGCTTATATGTCACTTCATGTTCTTTCAGATTAGATAAAGTATTTTAGAGCGAGGATTTCCCCTTTAAGCAATAGCAAATTTTCAAAAAGATCAAAATCTCAGCCATAATGTGGCGATGAAACTGACACCTCTTGTGGTGGACCCGGTAGACCGGCCTGACCGAAGATGGAATTGACCTGGCCTAACCCCACAAATATATTTATTAACCTTGCGCAAGGATGAGCGGCTATCCTGACACAAGGGGGGATATAACGAACAGTGGACTAAGCCTAGGAGCAGTTTGTTTGGTGGAAATTTACCACCACTTAGGAAAGACAAATCAATACCGGTATCAGAGCAAGTAAATACAGGGAAATAACCTTAACAAACCTTACAGTGACACAGGATTTCCAAGGACAATAATCAAGTAATTGATTTATAACAATTGTAAATCAATGAGGTATATAAATAACCTAAGGTTTATTTACACAATACACCTCACAAGGCAATTGAATATGCCTCACATGGTAACCTAACCACCCGACTAGCTTTAGCACAGCCAATCTATAACCTAAAGATACCTCACTACTAACAAGTAGCAATAGCCTTCACGCAAAAACACAGAATGTCATGCAAATCAGGGGTGATTTAATGAAAGGGTAATTACCTTCACAGCGATCTGAGCTTATCAAGTGAACCCCAAGGCCAGCTAGCATGATGATAACAGAATTGCCTTCCAGCCATCACCCCACTAACAGGGCTTACAGACGACAAGCAATCCAACAACAAAGACCACTAGCTCCCAGCCCCGGTTCTCCACGTACACTCAGCTCTACCTTTAACTAATCTAGACCCAATACAGCTCACCACTACACCTACCAGCTAGCGTATCCACACGCAGCGCTTCCGGTGCAGCGTCCACGCTACCTCGCACAGTACACAGCACAGATTGGTATACAGCGTTCTCTGCGATCTTTCCACTCTACGACCCAGCAGCGAAACTAACAGTGCACGCCCTAAGCACGCCGCAAGCGCCCAGACCTAGTGCTCTATGCAACGCCGATTGGTCCGCACGTGCATTAATAATTTACGAATTAGACTGGCATCCATGTCTACCCCTGTTTTGTCACAATAATCTCATAAACAGTGATCCACCTCCAGTGTTCAGTACTTAACATTTATGCATTTTGAGTCACTCTACTTTGGAACTGTTTGTGCTTTGCTCAATCAAATTTTGTTTTCGGAAGTCTTTTTACCGGAGTCTACCTGAGTATTTAACTTTGACGGCTTATATCAATTTGGACATGCGCTACCTGTACCAGTTGTAGCGGATGTCAAATCACTTACTCTAATGAAGGTGACGTCAGAAGCGAAGATTTTTTTTTGACCTTTAAGGGCTTAATTGTACCACCATGTTTTTGCTCGCACATTTTGCATTCTACTAAAGTTCAAAGAATTTCAGTGACTTTTATTTGAATTTGTGATATGCCCTATGCTGTAAGTACGTGTTTTGGGTTACTTGTAATTACAGCTCATGTGCTACAGATTAAGATGTATAAAGAAGGAGATAGAAATACTCATCTTTGGGCATGATAAACTGCAAGTTATGAGTATAAATTTGGCATGTTAGACCATGCGGTCAATTCCATACATGAGCATGCATAGTGTATTATGAATAGGAGGATTTTGCATTGAGTATGGACATTTAATGTTGAAGTACATGTGCATACCTGAAAAGTTGAATTTGGAAGACTGTAGCTTTGACATTTTGTGTGATGTGGTTGTGCTAAAGAGTAATTAAGAGCATGCTTTAGACACATTTTTTGACTCTAGCTAGAGTGCTCATTTTGACTTCAAGGCTTTGTTTTGAATTACAAACTGTTCAGTTTATTCACTTCACCTTTTAATGAGGATTCTGTAAGCCATTTCACTGGTTGATGCATAGTGTAACACTATGGATAGATGCTTATTGTATTTGATATACCGTATTGTTGATGAGAGATTGAACCTCGCACACACACACAGTTACCATGCACTCATATTTCAGCATTGTTAAACTTGCTGTCAGTCACCACTCATCATTAAAGTGGTATAATACAATCGCAAATTACGTCACTGTCTTTGGAATTTCTTCTGAAAGTTTTATCAGTCACAGTGGTGATCTTTTTATCACATGACCACAGGCTGGATCACATGATCGTTAGTAACAGTCATGGAGCTTGTTAGTGTGTTAATTCCATCCCATTCTTCCTCTTTCAGTTGTGCTGTTTCAAAGTACATATACATATATGTGTTATTTTCATTTACCGTGATACACAAATTAATGTACATGTACTCACCTTCAGTTTAAACATCCTTCAAGTAATGCTTATTTTATTCTAAAAATGTTTTACCACCCAAAAAAGGTACAAATCTTATGCGAGCTTTCAGCAGTGTTGGAAATTTTGTCCAGGCCAAGTATGGTAATTGTTCTGAAAAGTTTGCACATAAATGTCCAATGCATGTCACAATGAGTTTTAAGCTTACACTCTTGTCCATTTACCTTTGAACAAAATTACATTAATGCTTGTTCTTTGCAGATATTGTCTCAGGCCAGTTGAGTTGAAGCTGTATGTACTTACACCAAAATGCCAAACATTTATGAAGAAATTGACGAAAGTATCAAAGCTCCGGTGATGAGTGAAAGCATGAAGAAAGAAAAGACAGCCTGTGTGGAGATAGATTTCCCAGCTACCACCAAGTCCTTTGGTTTCCGGGATCGGCTTGGAGTGGTTCTGTGTATACTTGTTTGTGAACTGTGTGAGCGGCTAACCTACTATAGTATTGCAGGAAATCTGGTGCTTTACTGCACCAATGTTCTGAAATTCTCCAGTGCTGATGCAACCACAATTTCCTTCATCTTTACGGGAACATCCTACCTTGTGCCAGTGATTGGTGGATGGATTGCTGACACAGTAGCGGGGAAATATAATGCTATACTTGGATCAGCTCTCATTTATTGCATAGGTAAGTTGTAGGCCTGCATTAGTTCATGAGAATCATGATTAATATCTGAAAAAAAAGCCAGACATCTTTTTCGGCTCTAGCTCTTTGTAGGCTCTGGTTTTGCTGGACTAGTTTACATTGTGAAATTGGAAATTTATTGTGCACTTTGCATTGACTCAGTGGCACTGAGTTCTTCCCTTTTATACTCGTGTGCATACATGTCCCTGCAGTACCCTTAAAATTGTTACCAGTACATGATCCGCATGTACATGTATGCACACAACAAATGCACAGTCCCCTCAGAAGTTCTTCTTTCCCTGGTGTCAGTGGCGCGGTGATTGAGATCGACACAGTGTATCACAAAATAAGGTCATAATTTTTTTAATGTGCCAACTTGGCAGAGATATTTTGTAATCCTCACCCCAGGCATACACCACAAGCCTGTAAACTCCTATTGGCCAGACCCCAACCACTGCCAAGTTAAAATTCTTGAAAGATCAGTCACCCCAAGGAGCCATATTGTCTCTATCAGGAACTGGATCTCTTTGTTGACAAACATGTGTTGACTGGTCGCGGCTGTTTGGGTTGTGACCGGGTATTACATATACTTCTACTTCCACAGCAACATAATGAAATGTAGTTAGAGGGGACTGTGTAGGGATGTACATGTATTAGCTACCATAAAACAATCGTACAGGTTCCAGCATGACCGGGAACTGAACTGGTGATTAGAATCTCTATGTGATGACACCAGCCTTCGTTAATGAGCATGGCAGCCCTGAGGGTTAAAATTAATTAAAACTCAAAGAATTTGTATCCATTTAACATGTGTGGTTTTCAAGATGATATAGCAAACAAAAGTGCATCCCACATTACATACATGCTATTACACATGTACATGTGCTGCATGCTTCATCACCGAATCTCAAAATGCCCTTCTGTAGCCAGTGATGCTGTGAACCTTGGTTGAAAAGCCTCAAATTGTTGAACAGACCAGTTAAACCTTATTTGAAAAGCCTCATATTGTTGATCAAAATAGTCAAACCACTGTTAACATGAAGCTTGCATATTCGTGTACATGTACAGCTCGTAGTTGAAGTTTGGTTTCCCTTTGCAGGTATGTACATATACATATACCAGAAATGGAAGTGGGGTGGAAACCTAGGGAGAACCTGGACCACAGCAATCAACTACTGGCAATGGAATTTGCAGATGCCGTATTAGTCTTCAGAGCTTTATATTTTTCATGTTTTGTTGTCTTCAAGGCACAACTTTGCTACCTATCATCTCCATTGATTACACCAAGTATGGCCCCCATCTAGGGCTGACCAACAGCCAGCAGCGAGGTTTTTTCCTGTTTGGTATTGCCATCATTGCTATCGGTACAGGAGGCATCAAATCAAATGTCGGCCCTTTTGGAGCTCAACAGTTAGATGATCTTGGAGAAGGTCCTGTCAAATCCTTCTTTAACTGGTAAGATTGGGATTTCTTACTAGTTACATTTGTATTGTACAATGTAGGTGCAGTAACCTTAAACATCCCTCAATCCTTGTTCAGATTTATATGTAATTTACCCACCTAAAAAATGAACTGCAATTCAGCATAAGTTCTGGTACTCTTTAGGTGAAGGCCTGTAAAGAAATTTTTCACAATGTAAATGAGTAGAATGGGTCACATTTTCTACCCTCATATTGTCCATTTCCTCAGGATGCCAAAAAGAATGATGTGTAAAAAAGAGCTCATTTTGCGGTTTCTATAAAGCAAACAAAACAAATTAAAGTGAAACAAATTGAACCCTGTGACACATACCGGTACATACGATGATGGCCCACATACACATCAAGTACGCACCCTACTGGCATTAATGTCCAGTTTTGAGATTACGGTAAGTGACATTATCGTGTTATTTTTCATGTGAAGGTTCTACTGGTTCATCAATGTTGGTTCAGCTGTCTCCTTTTCAGCAGTGGTCTATGTGCAACAGGAAATTGGATTTGATGTTGGGTTTGCCATTCCAGCTGTCTCAATTGTTGTGGCTATTATCATGCTTTTGATTGGTCGAAAGTGGTATTGTATGAAGGCACCAGAGGGTGAGACCAGTTTTGAATTTTCCACATTTTAAATCAAGGATGACGGACTCTATCTGTCCCTCTCAAAATTTTAAAACGTTTTAAATTTGCATAGGAATATTTAAAACTCAGAACTCAGAGATCATGAATATGGCAGGTTTGTGATTGGTCTCAAGTGCCTGAATTTATTAAGGCACACTGAATCATTGGTAGTTCTAAAAATGATCCAACTTCTTTTTAATGGAATCTGTGATGCAAGCAAGCGTCTGACTCACTGTTGTGTAGCTTTTTAAATGCATCATTAATTTGGGCAATTTAATTATTGAATGAAATGTGACATACTCTTTAGCCAGACCAGTTTCTCTCAAGAAATTTCTAAATTTTCTTTCAAGGGAGTGTTTTCACAACTGTTGCCAAAATCATTTGGGAGGCTGTCACCAGACTTCGGATGCCTAACACCAGGAAAGATCAGATGACCAGCTGGCTTGATAGTGCCAAGCATAGCTTTGGAGGTCACTTTCCTGATTTAAAGGTGAATGAGGTGAAATCCCTGGGAAGAATTCTGCCTGTCTTTATTGTCATCATCTTCTACTGGACTGTGTACTACCAGGTGTGTGGGTTATTTTGTTTTTGAACTCGCTAAGTTTCTTTGCACACATTAGATCTTTGAGCTTTGTGGTTGGGTTTGGTTTTTGATTTCATACATGTACATCTTTGGACCTGAAATCCCATCACATCCCCTGAAGAGAAAGTGGCAGGGATCCCACTGGGAAGCTTTGTCGGGAAATTTACTGGGATCCCACCAGGAATCCCACTGGATGCGGGATAGGATCCCACCGGAATGCAGGATGGGATTCTACTTGAATCTCAGGGTGCGATCCCAGTTATGGTGGGATCCTGCTGAGACTGGGATATCAGTGGAATCCCAGTGGGATCCGGGGTCCCAGTGCATTCCCACCCAGATACCACTTGGATTCTGGCAGGATCCCGCTGGGATGGGGTGTGATCCCACCAGGAAGTTTTGTTGGGATTTGCATGGGATAGCCGGTATCCCATTGGGATTCCAGTCACATCCCAGGTTGACGCAACTGACATCCCACTGGGATCCCAGTTTGATGCATGCAACTGACATCCCACTGGGATCCCAGTTTGATGCATGCAACTGACATCCCACTGGGATCCCAGTTTGATGCATGCAACTGACATCCCACTGGGATCCCAGTTTGATGCATGTGACATCCCACTGGGATCCCAGATTGATGAAACTGACATTCCACTTGGATCCCAGTTTTGTGCAAATGATATCCCAATGGGATCCCAGTTTGGGATTTCATTTTATTCCAAACAATATATTATGCTGCTCCGAGCTGGAACAATTACAGTGCATTTCTACATTGAAATAACATTCCTGTAGGCAAGAGCTCCGTCACTTTCATCATGCTCAGGCTTTTGTTCCTTTCGCAAAGGAGTTCCGAGTATATACACACAACGGCTTGGGAATGCTTGTTCCTAATCATGTTTTTGTGGACACGAACTAACTTGAAGAGGCGTAGGGACTTTCTGTTCTTTGCTGGTGAGGGTACTCTTCTGCTCATAGGTAGATAGATCTCATCTCAACCCTTGCAGGCCTCTCATAGTCTGCAATGAATTGCAATTCTTGCAAAAAGTAGCTAATTGGTTCTGAAAAGATATTAGGTAATAAATTCAATAATATATCCCTTGCACATGTGCTTTATGACAATTATCCGTTTGACTGTGATGACACATCAAAGCCTATCCTCCATTAATTGTGAAGTCCTCTTCAATTACATTTGTATTTGTGATGTTTGAATTTTATTACTGTGAAACAGG